CCTGTTTCTTTGTTTTGAAGGATGCTTTAATGATCCTGGGTCCATGAGATTCCCATCCTATCAGTGCCTTTTGTGCATGTTTGGACATCATCAATGCAACTCCTTGTGTATGTGAAGCGTTTTCCTCTTCATGACCAGAGTATAACGGCAGTTTCCCTGAAGCTAGTCTCAGTTGTCCTACCTGTGTCCAATGTGTTTCACTGATGCCGAGCACCTCGAGGTTGTATCTTTTCATTTCTGCCGCAACTTGAAATAATCTTCCAGTCTCCCACAATGTGCGTACGTTCCATGTACCTAAAAAAATGGTTGCTCTGGTTGTCAGAAGAGGCATCAGCCCCGTGACTTCCGAGGGGACTCGGCTTTCATCACGAGACGTCATAATTCTTCTTCCAACTCCCAGGGCAGAGTTAAAATGGTTTGAATTATTTTTTCTGGTTAGCGTTTTTTTGGCAAGTTAGATTTCGACGGAATGGGGTCGCGAACCCCATGTCCAACCCTCCTCCTTTACCCGGGCTTGGGACCGGCAGTAGCTCCGAAGGTTCTACTGGCGGAGTTAAAATACATCACATACTTTAAGTATAATGTGTCCTTTTTCTATATGTCTAAATTATTTTTCACTAGTTTAAGTATTCTTAAAATCTTTATGCTCCGGAGTCGTAGAAATAGTGTTATTATCAAAAAATCAAGAAAAAAATAATTTCAACTGATGATTCGGTGGTAAATCTATCTAAAGACGCACACCATCAGAGAACCCGCTGAACGCCGACGGGACGTAAATACTCTAAAGTAGGGAAGTAAATCCTAAGCGATTTACACTTAGTTTCTAGACCCAGATGAACATTTAAAATTAATAAAATTGTCATTTACTATTTCCTAATGTGGTTTATGTTGACAAACTACAGAAGAATCCAAGTTCATACCTAGGTCACACGAAATCCGCAATTTTCAAAATTTAAGATACAGGATTGATCATTCCAAAATAGACTACAGTAAACAGTGATTCTACAGTTAATATTCATGATAACATAACTGCACATTTCGTAAACTTTACTAATTTTTTTAACTGGGTAAGAACACCACTGAACCGCTTGTGCAAGAAAGAGAAGAATCAAAAAATTACCTATTCTGTACCAATTAAAATAACTTTAACTTATGTACATCAAACAACAACGTTTAACAAATATAATCGACCATTTAAAACATTTTCCCGAATACTTGATTCATCTTAAAGTTTTGACTCAAATAGTATGCACATTTCTTCAATTTGGCTTTCCATTCTTTATGAAATGACAACATATATATGCTTGAAGATTCCTATGAAGCATGACAGTAGTAGTTTTGATTACAACATATTCAGTGGAATCAACATTAATCCAATCGGATGCGTTTTATCAATCCATACTTACTCGTGAATGAATAAATCCAAATAAAAACGTTTCATTTTGTTTTATGTTCTTTCAATATGCCAATTATTCTAAATCAATTCATGGGTATTTATAACTACATAGAGAGGTGATTACCCTATTTTATTTTTATTCAATATTCTAGGTGTACAGAACCTTTACTTTAAATATAAATAAATAAGGTATATTAAAAAATAGCCGTTAATTTAATAAGGGCTTCTCAGCAAATTGTAATGAAGATTATTTGAACAAATTCATTTAGACTAAACTACGTCAAAAATAAACTTTCAATATCTGATAATATTTGAATGTTCATTCCAGTAATGCGATGTAGTCTTTAACAAATACGATGTGCTGGTAGTTTTTTCAACATGGATTACCAAACCATGTGATAACAGTATTTTTTAGGCCAACAACTGTTTAACTCAAAGTGTTTGTCAAACATTTGGGGCTTATTAATATCTGCTGTACAACTAAATATACCAGCTTTAATTCATCGTTAGTTTCATTGATAAAGGTTGAAGTATAGTTTAATTGAAAAGCATTTTCAAGTTAATATTTAACAAATAACATTTTCATTTGATAGTATCACCAGCAAATCATTTGCGTCATTAACATTAAATATGTTTCGATAAATTCCGATCCAAAGCACTGTGTGCGTAATATATTCGATGTATGGATCATTCGTATTAAGACATTCTGTATAAAGGAATTCTTATAATAACTAAGGTTATCAAGAAATGCCAGTCTTTGGAGATTACAGCGCTTACTGTCTAATATCGTGTCTGGGAATGATAAATTCGTGTATACTGACATTCGGTTCATTAAAAAATCGTTAGTTATGAGTTTCCGACTTCTGTCTTTTTAATTAAAGGTTAACTTCTTAAAATCTGTCTGCAAATGCAAACTCATGTTTTATTAATCATTGTTTGCTATTTCGTAGTTAAATTTCATTTCATAAGTGACAAAAACTAAAACAAGAAACATATGCAGGATTTTCTACTAACTATTATGTAAATACTTATTCATTTCTGTTGGTTGTTTGAATCTTCCCATTGATGCTAAGGACTGAAATTGTTCAGGCACTTTGGCTTATGTGCATCCTGTGCGGATTGTCTCAATATTGCTTCTAGGTAACAAGCATTATTAGCATAGGTGATGAGCAGCAAATAAAACGAAACGCGCATCCTCGACTTCACTTCTAGCCACTATCCACCTCTGATAAAACTACCTGCAGCGTGAACAAGTCAGGCAACTTGACTAAGTGATGAAACGTAGTTTCATTGACGTCACACTAAACAGGCGAAGTGATGACTCGCTAAGTAGAAGCAAACACAGAAAAAATCCCACTACTTGCCGACACGCTAATTTTTTTGTCTTATACTTATCCACTAAGAAAGAAATTTGGTTAGATGTATCACTAGCAGAGCAAAAATGATCTGTTCAGTGGACACTTTAAGTCAGGAGCTGGAATTCATCAACAGCTCACTGACTAAGATCGGGAAAGTAATTAACAGAACATTCAAAGCAGCCAAACTTGCGTTGACCTTCTCAAGTCGACCAGCGATTACTACCCAAACGAAGGACAAGTTGGCCTCCTCTATGGGTATTTACAAATTCAGCTGCCCCTGTGAAGATAGCTATATCGGGCGTACTACCAGGCAACTTAACCAACGAATGAGTGAACATCTCCCAGCATGGTTTATGAAGGGTCACTTAAAAACAATACGCAGTTCTATCTTAGCACATCTGGTTGATAGTGGTCATATTTCAGATAAGTCTAGATCTTTTCGGGTGCTCGATCGTATACCTCCATCATTTCCCAACGGAGTTCGATCCCGTCACCTACACACAGCAGAAGCCATAAGAATTCGTACATTCAACCCCATTTATGTGTTCTGAAGAAATTGATGACACCCCTATCTCTTCCATGGCCGGATGTGACCTAACTAAAGCTTAAAAAAACTTTTTAATTTTGTCATGTTATTATTAGCGTTATTTTCACATCTTGAATTTGTTGGTAATTTTCTGCCTCTTTTCGTTTACATTCTTCACTATCTAATTATGTACACACTTATTATTACGTAATGGTTTAGTGTTTTATAATGATTATTTCAAGTCTATTTATCGACGTTTGAACTTTTGATAAAACGTTTGTTATCGCATTTTATTTTTCTTACTATCAGTACACCCGTCTTCCTACTATCAACTTGAACATTTGCCTATTATGTGTAGTGACGTAGTCTATTACATTTCATTGTGATTATCAACTCAAATTGCCGTGATTGGTTTAACATTTTCATACATAAATATTCATGTATATTCGAGTAAAGTCTGATGACCATCTAATCGAAAACAATATCGTTCGCTTATAAGTATTGTTCACAATGAGAATCTTTGATATTCTTAAAACGTAGTTTTGTCTATTAAAATATCTTTATAAGGTAGATCACCTTAATACTACTTCGAAATTATCTAAAAAGTTCAACTCTTAATATATTATACATTTCATCTTAATGTGGTTAGACTAGTGTCATAAACCTGTCACTCGTAAAACTATTTTCTATTCAAACTATAGAAACTTATTTTCATAGTAGTAAGCACAACAAAGTACGCAAGATGTTCTGAATGATGAACATATTCAAATAAATGTTCTACAATGCACACTATGCTCTATACATCCAAAAACAATACCTAAAAATTATTTTAAAGTGAATAGTAGACTAGTCAATTGGGATCATATGTTCCGACATAGTAACCGCCACATTTTCCTGAAGAAATTGTTGTTTTATCTTGTTCTACGAACCAATACATTGTACTGTTTGAAATGTGGTTAACTTGATGAACATATGGTCAATCTTAAAGCAATGCGGAATATTTGGCCTCTGATTTAGACAGCTACATTTTGTAGTCTTCATTATTCTTAACAAACAATATAGAACAGAAACTAAATAGTTATGAACAATATTTAATCAAATTGCAGATTATTAATAAAACAAAAAATATTCTGATAGAATTTTTCAAAACAACAATGAAAGCTGTACAATCAAAACGTAGAATTCAGATACCATAGCTTGAACATATTTTCGATCTCTACAAAAAAAACATATTTTTTAATCTTATTTTTTTGCATGTACAAATTTTTTTTAGGTTTTGTTTTTTTGCATCAAATGATTTTATTTCCTGTTACTTTTTGTATTCAATTATCAGTTCTAGACAATTGGATTTTCGATTAGAGCTGTTCATTATAAAGACTATTTGATTAACAATGATCAGGTTTTTATTTTTCTGAAGAGTATATTTTTTCTTAGATAATATATATTTATTTTTATTTATTTTATTTTCAAATTTTCAATCATTTAAGCTGGTCAATCTATCACATATCTAAGCTATTTCGAAAATATTCAAAGACAGTATAAGTGTTGTGGAATACATTCTATAAATGACTGGTTCGATGTGATCGAAAAGCAGGGAATATTTACTGAAGTAAGAAGTAATGAATCACTGCATTCATGGTATATAGTTTCCCATAATATTCCAAAAAGCTGTTGTAATCTAGAATCAGTCAATAATTGTTCGGAAAATTTTACAAACTCAATGAAATTGGAAGCGTATCGCCACAGAAATTATCAACATTTCTATCCTAGTACCTCGTTTCTTTATGCAGATGGATGTTTGAACAAGGTAGCTACTGAACAACAAAACCTAATGTACAGTTTTATCACTATATGCGGTATTATAAGCATATGTCTACAAATCATACGATTGACTATCTTTTGTGTTACTTGTAATCAAATTCAAACAAAATGTTCAAATGAATCAGCAGAAATCAAACAGTATTCAACTTATTCCAGTTCATTTAAAAACATGCGCTACATATCCAACTCACGTTTATTAAGTGCTTGTCAAAGTTATTGGCTATTCGAACAACCGGCTCTTATGCATTTACAGTTTGAAAATTTAAAATCACACTGGTTGGAAAAGATTATGGGTATAGGTTGGATATTTTTCAACAAAGGCAAACACTATGTAACATTTCTACGTCGAATTAACTTTCAGGAAAAAAGTCCAAAATTGAGTACATTTCGCCAACTTCTACGCTATTCGATACCAACTTTTGAAATGATAACCTATGCAGATGGTAATGATATGGAGGAAACTGAAGCAAATGTCATCTATGGTGGTTATATTTCAAGACTTATGAGAATGATCTGTTTCCTTTTATTTGGAATACTCATTGGTGAGTTCTTTTTATATGCACTTATACCTGTTAGAAGTGAGGCAGTTGAAGTGCTTTCTGGTGACGAAAGACTACCTGATAACATTATTCAAAGAGATGCTGAAGCACTGGCAAGTGACATTGAGTGGATGACTAGAATATTTATTCGAATTACTATCACAGTAGCTACTGTGGTGTCATGTAGATTTCGTTGTCTTCTCCTATTAATAATTCCAGGCGTAGCACAGACAGTTGGTGTATCCTATTTAGGCAATGAACTGGCACATGTTTCTATAACAGGACCTGTTCAAAATTTAGAGCGTAACCTCCGTTCAGCATCTGAATCAATAATTTGTTTTATTAAATTGGCTCACAATATGACGAGAGATACAAACGATTTCCTCGAGAAGGCTAAAGAAGCGATTAGATTAGAAGAAGGTTTAAATTATTTGGAGACTGTTAAAGCTAAATCTGCTAAACTTAAAGAAAAAATAAACCGCCTCAACCAATCAATCCAAAAAATCAATCAAGAAGTAAGTTATTACAGAAAGTATAATTACATTTTAATAATATCCTTATGACACTAAATAAAACAATATTCTTTGCAAAAGATATTATTTCATAGGGGCAAATTATGTGGGAGTACTGGAACCACTTCAAAAAATATCTGTGGATAAGTAGTTACCATTATTTTGAAGTGAGTTCACTAGTCAACCTAAAATCACTTTATTATGTACATGAAACCTAACCTAACATGAAACGGCGTTGATGATAAAGTAAGAAATTTTTCCACTTCCACAAAATAGAACACGCCTCAAAATTGGGTGCGGTAAAGTGTTGCATTCATTTTCCATCTTCTTAATACAGAATCTAGTATCATTCAGTTCTTCTAATCATTTAACAGCCTTTACTCCATCTGAGTGATATTTTCTATGTACTTCACGGAATTTTCTCTAATATGACTTTCGTTCAATCAAGCTTTTCTCTACCCGCGCCGACGATTAGAACAGATACATATTAGACTTAAGTTCAATGCTGACAACAGCAGTTTGACCAAACAAAAAGATTCTAGAAATTATCACACTACTGAATAACCAGGTTTTTCTGCAACATAGGTGATGTTTGTAACAATAAGAATATATCTCTCTTGAAATACTACCACCAATAATAAGATTTTCTTAAATCCAAACATCGTACGAAGAAACAATCAAGTTATTGTGTTCATTAAAAGGTGGATGATTCACTAAGTTCACTAATGCTTGATGAAATCAACAAAATGAATAGTAACACTTAGTACCGTGCTTGTTCCTGACCTTCTTAGACCACTCTTCTAATATTTGTCTGCTGATCACTAAACAGATTATATCACGTTTGATGTTCATAAACAAAATAAGAATAATTTTGATCAATGAAAAACAAGAGATGTAAATGTCAATTTTTTAACAGATCGTTCTATTGCCCCGTTGACTTTGCGATAAATGTACATCATCCTGAAATTCTAAATTCAGAATCCACTCAATTCATAGTTCACAAATTCTATTTTCAATAATCCCTGAAGAAACATACACCGGAATATAATTATGCAGATAAAATTCGGTTTATACTTATATATCATACTTTCAATTAAGCAACAGATATTTGAATTTTAATCAACGAATCTGTTTTTTTTTTCAATTTAGATTAATAAAACAAAAGCTATGGTGGAAAATGCTAGATCTGTTCTTTTCTCAGGTGATGGTGGAAGTAATATATATGCCAATATGTCTATGGAAATGGCTAGACGAGCTAAGGAAGCAATGAAGAAAAGAGCTAAAGCAAGTAAAGATAGCATTGTCAAAATGATGAAACCTAAAGATTTAAATTTCAGTTTATCAAAAAGAATAAGTGATCTGATTGATGATGGATTAGGAATAGAATATGACATAGAAACTCGTATGCAAATGATTTGTATGATTTTCTATAAAACACGTGCAGTTATATGTAATCAATCTGCGGTGCGAGCATGTACTCGTATGCAAAATCTTATATTTTCAGCAGCATTGCCCATTATCATAAAAAATCTTTGTCTACGCAAAATCTCCTCCGGTGTAGCTTGTCCAACTGATCATGCACTTCAACAAGCAGTGAGTCAGTGTAGTTCAAGTTTATCAAAAATAGGCTTTTCTACTGGATTCGGTCCATTGTTTTTACAAGCTCAACAAGATTTATATCAAATTAAACAAACATTTCATTTCACTATCAAACATAAACTACTTGAATTCCAAGAAATAACTAATTGGTTGAAACGAAGATCTACACTTATTGAGTATATAACCCGACAAACGAAACAAACCATACTTGTTATCATGAAACTTAGTTTAATTTTTAATAGTTTATTCAAATCAATTTGTTTATTGGTATTTTACCAAGCTCACAGATGGATATCAAGTTATTTATTGGATCCGGATTACGATAACATTTACATTGAATTGCCATTTGAACAAATTGATCATAAACGTTCCAAGGAATCACGTGAAACGTTGTTACCGTTAAAAAAGCACGAACTAAAAAATGTAATATGGCACCAAAAAATGTATAAAAAGAATGAATTGATACGTGCAATTAAAAGTTTGATCAAAGTGATTGGTCTCGGTTTCAGTTTCTCTCTATTTTTCGTTATTGATTTTTACATGACTGAAGTGGTCCTAGTGTTAGATGAAGTAGCAAGTACAACATTCAAAGTCGGTAGTGAAAAAAGTGATGAAAAATCTAAAAAACACAAATTACAAATAAAAGGCGATGGAATATTTACTGAATTACTTCAAAAAGCAATAAACATTTTACGAAATGCTGGTGAAATAAATCTTATCTATGACCTAAGAGTATGTAGTCCTAAGGCTGAATATACAAAATTTAAATACTATTCACGTTTTTGTGCAATATGGTTACTAATGATGATTCTTTCCTTAATATCTGGTTATATGCTACGTTTAAGACATAAAATATTGAGTTTTTTCTATCCTCGACGTTCAAAACATCGATTTATTCATTTATATAATAAACTACTAGTTAACAGACGATGTCAAATGACCACTGCACGTAATGTACTTGTTCATCAATCAAGTCAAAATCGATTGCAAAGAGAAGCTGAAAAACTTTCACATAGCTCACTTTTATATAATTGTAGTTTATTCAAGCGTAACAAAGTTAATTGTATCATATGCATGGAAAAATATAAAATTGGTAAAAATTCATTAATTTACGTATGCCCATACGATGGTACAGCAATTTGTCAATACTGTTTAACTACTCTATTTAATAATCATAAAATATGCATAACTTGTTTAGACAGAAATTATAAAAGATTGGAACAAATCAATAAAAATATTTCCAACTTGAAAAAGATCATAATCAATGAATAACAAATAATCTTACAATTAAAATTTTTAGTAAAATCTCGATCACAAAATAACTGAATCAACTCACTGTAAAATTGAATCAGTAATTAAATCTAACCTACCTGTAAGCCATGAATGATGAATTATCATTGTGATGTAATTCAATCTTTTTTCAGTAACAAAATATAAATAATACTTTACTGAATTTACTTTTTTATTACCTGATACAAGATTTTAACATCATTTAATGACGATCATTGCTAGGATTATTTGATAAATGATCGAAGTGGAATTATTTATTTCGGTATATGCTCTTATTCAGCACTTGGAAAGAATCTGAAAATAGATTTCTCCGTCAGAGAAATTACTCAGTGTTCTTGTTATGTTCGTCACTAGGTACGCTTGAAGCTATTACGAGTTCACCTTAGTCGATAAACGCGAACGAGACAATTACCAGCGACCAGATATGCTAAGATGAATCCCAACTACAAAACAGAAGTCCTGATAAGCGTAGAAAGTACATTCTACAAACACCCAGCAATCACAATACATTCAAGCACACAACTCTCGTTTATTTATACATCATATAAACGTCTTTGGGACAGTTACGAAAATAGCACACTAAAATACACAGCAGCCAATCACAGCCATGGATTTTGCTGGTGGGAAATGAAATCTCAAGGTCATCTGATCAGCCCATGCTCGCAAATGTGAAATCCAAAATAAGGCATTTATCAAGCGAGTTCTGGGGATCTAACATCCCAAACTTTTCCACAGAACTGTTTTACTAAAAAGGGATGCAATCTGATGTTATATTTGCTATTGTCCAAAGCAAAATTGTTGAGATTTGACCATAAGTGGGGTAGGTAAACTTCAAAGCATAATCGAGATCTAGTTAGTAACCAGAATATTTTATAAAAACGCTTATCTGTGTATAACAATTCTTTTAACCATGTTCTGTTGGAATTATCATGTTCATAAATAGTTTCAAAAATCGAACATTATCCATTGAAACAAATGCATGTATATTAGACGTTCCCATTGAACATTAGAACAACACATTTTCAATTAGATTGTTCCTACATCCAACTTATACGTTTACCTATTGTCTGAAGTTGTGTAATGATCATTTACTTATAAATCGCTGTGATTGTTTTAATAATTTCATATGAATATTCATGTGTATTAGAGTAAAGTCTAACAAACTTATATCTTTATCATTTGTTCATGAATTTGCTGAGTCAAGCAAGAGTAAACAATTAAACGCAGACGCATTTGATCATTGTTTTTGTTACTCAAATACTTACTGGTAATCACAACTGCTTTAATGTGTTTGTTTGAGATTTATGCTCTTTGTATCAAAGAAACGTGTTATCTATCAGAAATTATTCAATTTCATTTGCTTTATAAAATAATATACATATGAAAATACATGAATTATATGAATCGACTGAATGAGTATCCATTTCCAAAGTGACTTCGAACTGCATGTCAGACTGTCGAAAATCATAATTAATTTACAGTTACATTTGTAAACACCTTATCGAATTCATATTGTTCTATGAAGAACAATTTTCCAAACTCTCAACAACATCATTTAGTGTCTTTGAAAACATCGGAACAGTATGTCTTTCTATCGATTCATTAATTCAAGCCATAATCGTATACAAAAGTGTAATACTTCGTCTTCTAACCTATTAGTTTTGATTCATGCATCTCGATATACTTTTTCTTCTCACACCTCGTATATTCACTTCGTGTACAGTCAGCTGAGATCGTGGAAAAGAATTCTTAGCTCAGATGGACGATTATGGTAGGTTCATTCTCTAAGCAGGATGGTTTGATCTTCAATATTTCTTTGTTCCTCTCAACAAATTCATGAAATTCAAGTGGACGCGAAGCATTCCAACTTCTTCACAAACGACTACCAGCTTGTCCTATCATCCTCGATCCACCATTAACCAGACACTAACTGTATCTTTATTTTGATCGTATCCGCCGTCGATCCGATTCTCGATCTTATATTTGTCCAAGAATTTTTTGATTGATTTCTAAATTAAATCAATTTCAATGTGTCCGATAATTTGTGATTGCTCTGACTCTCATGTTTTCAAAAGATCCCTGATGTTCGTGATATTTCCATTTCTGATACAATACAGCAAGTACCAACCAAATCACAAATGGTGGAGAATCTTTGGAAGATGTGGAAACCTACTTGTGCCTGGACAGTGTCGTTAATAAATAAGGTGGATATGGCACAGATATATAGACAGGGATTGGTAAAGCAAAGGCAGCATTTCTACAAATGAAGAACATCTCAAACTCAAAAACACTACCAACCAACACTAAAGTTAGAATTTTCAGTACAAAAATCAAGACAGTTTAGTTCTTCAGCGCGAACCGGAAAACTTCAGAAGCCATCATCCAAAAGATACAAATATTTTCAGAAAGTTGTCTGTGCAAGATACTGGGTGCCTGTTGACCATCAGTAACAACCTACCATAAGAGCGAACAAACCGGATTCCAGCTAAGAAAGAAGTTTGACGATACCGCTGAATGTGGATAAGACACACATTTCGTAAATCGCTAGACTGGATCACGAGACAAACCTCTAAATGGAATTTTAAGAGTAAGAGGCTGCAAGAAAGACCAAGGAACTCATTGCCAGGAGAGTTGGAGGCAGACATCAACAGGATGAGCAGCACGTGGTAATAACTCCAAAGGAGAGTAGAGAACACAGTTGGTTAGATAATTCTGATTGGTGTCCTATGGTCCATGAGAGCTAAGAGGAGCAAGTAAGTAAGCAAAGTCTTGTAATTCCTTTTCATTTAAGATCTCAAAATGTTTCCAGTCAAATGGTTGTCCAGTTATCAAGATGCACTGATATAAAGGGAGATGTATCATGGCGTACGGCTGCTAGTTAATGTCCATGTATATAAGGATGAAGGGGATTTTTTTATGACTCCAAAATAGGTACATTTACGGCTATAATAGTGTCTGGTACAATGTGCCATCTTAAAGTAACATTTCGTGACGAATGGTCGTGAGATTCGAGTAAAATATTCAAAGCCTTAAATGAATATCAGAAGATCAAACAATCGGTAAGTTAAACGACTAATTTAAAATACACAAATATATAATTAATATAACTCATGGTAAACACCGCCTTTGAATGATTTTATCGGCGTTCAGCTTTCTCAGACTTATGATTTGACTGTATGGTTTTCTTTGTCACTCCGAATAAAATCGGTGCTTATTTCTTTTAGTAGTGATGGGGATGTTTTGAGATTATATTATTTTCCTAGTCAAAATCACGGACTCAACATAGCAAGACTTCCATTGTAAACCTGGACAGATGTTTCTTTTCGGATCTCCACGCAGGTAGTGAACCCGAGACCCTTAGGCTCGCGCGCAAGTACTTAATCTTAAAACAACTGAATCGGCATCCGATGGTGTTAGTGTCTTCTATCATATCTTCTTATTGTCTCGCTGTTTTGTCCTCAGTTTGACTGCTTACACTTAGAAACTGGGACCATTTCTATTCCCACCAGCAAAGTCAGAACGCGAAAGACTGATGTAATGGAGATTTATTGGCTCCTCGAAAACTTATTTTTAAACAAGTCCCTAAATTGTGTCTGTAGACGAAAATATAATTACTTATTTACTGATTTTTACACACCAATATCATATACAAATAAAAATTACTGTAAGAACAAACACTGACAACAGTTTACTTGGATTGATACATGAAATATTACTGTCACATTGAATGAAGTTCACAACTGTCGCATTGACCTCAAGTACCAAATCAGTCTGTTCTGATGACCTTGTTTCTAGTTAGATGAACTTTCTGGTTTTTATGGACATTTTCAGTTATTTTAAAGTGACTAAACCTCTGCGATAGTTAGATTTGTAAATAAACAGCTGAACTCACGAGTCTGGTTGATAATTGTACATATTGATCTCTTTTAATCTTTTTTTTGGTATAACATCTACTTCCTGGCTAAATTCTTTGTTGTGATGTCTATAACGTTGATAAAAAAAAAGTAATTAGAATGAACAATAATTTTAAAACATTTGACAGCTAATTTTCCTAAATTTAATGTTCGTCTACTTTTGAAAAATTGTCAATGAGGGAATCTTGTCAATTTTTTTTCATCCAATAATTATATCTGTCATAATAAGCATAGAAAAATAAAATTGTTTCACATTAGTTTATTCATTTATTATAAAATAAGTGGTATTGATTATTTTAACTGATCAATAATACACAGTTAATATTAGCTTTAAAACAAAGCATACATTACATATTACCTCTATGTTGAATATACTGCAAAGTCCCTAGATCAATCAGAGTTAGACATTAAAACCGTTGAATGCCAGCCCAGTGGTCCAAAGGTTAGGCATTTGCGCACAATACCGACAGTCACGGGTTCAAATCCTGTGGAGTGCAGGACTCGTGGATGTGCACTGCTCATGAGTCCCATACCAGTAAGGAACGGCCATCCAGTGCTTTCAGGTTCCTAATGGTGGTCGAACAATTATTGATTGATGGTTTTAAATGTGTAAAAACACTAATCTCCATAACTCTAATTGAAAATATTAAATTATCATTGATTATATTAGTAATATTGGTAATGTAATTAGTAGTGTAAAATTACTAAGCACATAAGAAAAAATTATTTCTAGTTGTTGTTATTCAACATATAAACTTTTTTTCTTCAATGAACATTTGTTTTAAATTATCATCCAAACAAGCTACCGATTTGTTATCTTTATCAAAAATTGTCAGCAAACATTGTAAACAAATCATTGTATTGTCTGCAAGGCATGCTAGTTGAAACTGATCATAACATATAAAACAGATGCTTTTATTGAAGCCGAATAAATAGATTATATTTGAACAAGTTCACCTAGAAATGATAGCTGTGGTAAATTTGCTACTCCGTCTTAAGAAACATCTGCTTTCCATGTGATGAGAAATTCATCGACACAGTTCAGTCGCGTATTTACAACATTGTGTT